AATTATTTAATAAATTGGTCTAATTTGTCAGAGGTTACATCTTTAAAGAGGTCAAAATAAATCTATAGAAGCATAGTTTTTACATGTCTGCCTGTTTTTTTGGCTATAGAAGCGTAACTTCTCATTTCTTCATTATTTTCTACAAAGATACAAAACCTAACAGAATGTATAGATTATGATGAAACGTGTTAGGATAATAGCGCACAACTGGATTTAAAATGTATTGTATTATTTCACAGTTTTACAATATTGTTCTCCACTCACACACTACTACCTGCCATAAAGAAATGATTTTCTCTAAGTCTATGTTTTTTTTTTGAAATTATGTAAAAATTTCTCTTGTGATATATAGAAACCAAACGGGAGGATCCAAACTTATCTATGAGCTTATTTTTATATATATAGATAAAAATGTGTATGCATATTTAAGAAAAAGAATGGTCATTTTTTACACACATAGGAGGCTATATATTCTTTAAAGTAAAATGTACGTTTGATTATAAACGTGTGCTTTATTTTTCCGTCTATTTAATCTGCAGTTATATGGTCCTTTGAAGGTCATTAAAACTTCTGAAGTGAAGGAAAAATCAAATGAAAAAAGATGCTCATAAGATAAAAAAGGATGAATAGGCTTTTGCCTACATTTCATAAAAAATAGAGGGATAAGAAATCAATAAATTGTAAATGGATTGTCCCGTCATTCTTATTTACTAAAATTAGTGTTATCTTACAAAACAACAATAGATTATTAAAATCGTGAAGAAGGGGAAATGCAAAATAAACATTTGCTTTCCCCTATGAAATATGAGCGTAGTTTTGTCTTTTTTTTATAAAATATTTAAAAGTTTTAAGGATATGTCTTTTATATGAAAACACGAAAAAAAATGAATTAACAATTACATGTATAACCGAAATATTTTTAGCCTCCGATTGTGCGTCTTTTTATGCTTGCAATGATACACGTTAATTGACTTAACGCTACGATTTTATAGAAGGACATATACTAAAGTTTTCTTTTACGTTTCTTCATATGTTTGTATTAAAGTGTAAAGATAAATTATCAAATAGACACTTAGTTAATGCATTTTGTTTGTTGCAAAAGAAAACATGTAGAAGAAAAATAAATTAAGTTTCATGCTAAAATTATATGGTACACTAAAATTAGAAATAAAGCATTGTAGTTTAATCTAAACTGTTGTAAAATTCGGGGGTTCCAGTACGAGAGCTGTGCTTATCGTAAATAAGGTATTTTGACACGGAATGTCACACAAAGCTTAATTATTAGTATAGTTTGATAAAAGCCAAAAGTTTAAAATTTGTAATTTGGAAGATTTCCATCAATCATGGTTAAGAACATTGGAAATTAGCATTATGTATTTTCAAAAAAATAATACATTCAAAAGGATATAAAACATGCATATTCTTCATTTCATCATATATAATTATGTTCCAAACATGTAAGGACACAAAATTTCGTGTTAGGTTTTTCTTTTATGAATTGTCTATTAATGTTCCAATGGAATAAGGAATTTCCTTAAGTGAAAAATTATAAGTTAAAATACCCAATTTGTTTATGATGACACTAAGGACATTCACAGTGCCCAATGAATTTGATGTGTACTCACATATAATTTATGTTATGATGTGTTCACTTCATATAACTATTAAAACAAAAGACATGGTTCCATAAAAGGAATGATCTTATTATTCCAATAACACTTATTATATGTATGAAGTTGGGGTATGTTAATGTAAGTTCAACTTTACATATATTAAATGATGTATTTCATTAATTTATTTACTATGTTAAAGTTATGAAGTAATGACTTCCAGAAGTTTTCTTAAACATGTGAATTTTCAATCATATTTTGTTCATTATTCTAATAGTGCAATGGTTAATAATTAAAAAATGATTTATACAATTAATTATTGCACTACAAATATGCCGAAATTTTTATATTCGTTAAAGACTTTTAATATAATAATTAAAAGCCAAGGCAAAAAAATAATATTTAAACAAATAAATATGTATATAGCACATGTTACGAATTAAAAATACATAATATAATTTTATACAAATAATTAATATAAAATAAATATCTTTTATATTATTATGATAAAATTAATATGATAATAAAAATTAAATACGAGAATTATTAAAATAATATTAATTATTTATTTATAATTAATTTAATTTATTTATTATATAAAATATAATATAAATAGGACTTATATTATAAAAAAAAAATTAAGCATATAAACAAATTTATTTGTTCTATTTCTTTAAATTATATATAACTAAATTCTTTTTTCCTTTAATTTATTCTAATTAAGTTATAATTTTGATTTCATTATATTTGATTAATATTATTTATTAAAATAGTAATAGCACATATTTTTTTAGCATATTACTTCATATAACTCTTTAAGAATTACATTTTGTTTATTAAATTTTGTAAAGTGAAATATCAATCATTTATGAGTTTATTAAATGCTGACTTTTATACTGTTTTTTATTATTTAATTACCTTTATAATTGTGATATAATGCATAGTTTATGTATAATTGTTTTTATACCCTGTTCGTAACTCCAATGAGAGTCATAAGAGCATTAAGTTAAATTTATACTAAATAATAAGCTTCAAGTTCGTTAACGTATGTAGTGTGTAATAAGCAATAAAGTTTATTTTCATTTGTAGAATTCTGCCTAGTCATATAGTTTCATTTTTATTTCCATGTTAAATGTCCCATATTAGTTCACTGGGAGAATGGACATTTTGATACAGTATTTTAAAGCTTTTTTATGTGTTACCAATTCTTTAATATAAATAAGCGATATTAATTTGAAATAGATGTAAAAGGAAAAAGACGAATAACTTTGAAGACATCATTTCTTATTGCTTTCTATACAAAATGTATATTTAGTAAAATTGTTACTTAAAGAAAGACGTTTTGAACTATACAAATATTTAGACACATTCATATAACAGGGATTACCCCTAACACAAAGAGTTGCGCGTTAATGTTTTCATATTTATGCTTTTGTATAGTTTCATATAAAATTTATCTTTCCTTATGTGACCCTTCGACTAATAACAAAACATAACTATAATAAGAAAAACTTAATAACCCTTCTATTTTTAAATTTCCATATATTTATTAAGAACTTAACATGTTTTCTGTAGGAAGTTAAAATACGTTTTTCTTTGTTCATACAGAAGATAACCCCCCTTTCTTTTAAAAATATTTTCCATTGTGAAATGGTCTTTAAAAATAATGTAAACTACCGTTAAACAATAAAAATAGGCACATGAACATAAAAGATACATTCATTCCTATGAGGGGAACTCAATTAAGTTACCCCCCCCTGCTATTTAGCGAAATCCTTATTCACCTATTCAGATCTCAGTTGTCGCCCCATGTAAGCATCCTATGAGGACATTTACTTTTAAACATATGAATTCTTCAAAAAAAAGTAAAAATGTTCTTTCTTAAAAAAAGAAACTATGAAATGATAACACGCATAAACGCACAAGAATAGCATTAGTAAAAAAATTGTCTACATGTATAACGCTTTTAATTAACACCTGCAAACTATGAAACACCAATTGCACAGAGGCCAATGTCTAATAGTTAAGAGATGGAATGTCTGTGTTAAAATTCTTTGGATTCATATTTTTTATTCATTGTCTATTTTGACTTATGTAAAAAAATGAATGTAGAATCAAAAAACATTATATATAGAATTCATTTGCCACGTTCTCCGAGCATTATAAAGGAAGTCTTTGAAATTAGTCCAACTGAAAATATTCTTGGAGCATTAATCAAAGGTTATTCTTTCTTTTTGCTTAAACTATAATGTTAATATATACTTGTTC